AAGAGAAATGAATAAGTATACACACACGCGCGCACACACACGCGCACACACACGCACACACACACACACACTTATGTGTACACACTGCTCATATATATGTGTGGTCAAGCAGTGTTATGCATGAGAACCCCAACTGGAAACAGCTGGAACATACTATGCGGCCAGGCTGGCCAACTCAAGCTTGCCTCTACACGATCTTCTTGCTTCTGGCTGCTGGGATGGCAGACGTGTCTTTATACCTTTAGCCAGCTTTAAGCCCACAGTTTTGTGGCCTCAGGCAAATCGCATTGCCATGCAGCTATCGCCACCATCATCTCCAGAGCATTGCCAGCTACCCAGCTGAAATTCCCTACCCATGCCACACCAACTCTGACTGCCCCTCCCCTTAACGGGCAGGCGCCATTCTACTTTTGGTAGTGATTCTACGTTAACTCCCCTAACTCCAGTCAGTGGAGGTCTGCCTTATGCGACAGGCTCACTTCACTCAGGATGTCTTTAAGGTCCCTCCATTGTAGAATTGTAAATTTTTCTCTTGTTTTTAAGGCTGAAGAGTATTCCATTATATGCATAATGATTTGACGTTTCATCCAGCTTGGATATTTGGGCTCCCCCTTTTATACTTGTGAATGATACTGTTTTGATTGCTGTCTAAGAGACACCTGGACACTGGAGAAATTTATGATATATAAAACATACTTCAATATAATTATTTAAGTCAAACTAATTATTCATTTTCAAAACGCAAAAAAAATCAGTAAATGAGATCCTACTATAAATTTATGAATGATAAACTTGTCCTGCGAAGTGAGTTTATTAACTAAGAATCATTTGATTCTCTAGGATTTTTTTGTGTGTTTGATCCTCCAGGTTCTTTGTTAGAGTTGGATACCGTGAAATTGTGTGCTAGTTTGGGTCAAACTCTACAGCATCCTTTTCTTTTTTTGGGCGGGGGGTGTCAAATCTCATAATATCCCCTTTCCTCCCCGAGGGACTCATCCTTGCCAGCTGTAACCAGGTCCTCTCGCTCTGCTGTTCCCATTTGTTCTGAGCAGGCATCTCCTGGAGGATTGTACAAGTCTCTCTCCCCACGTACTCACTGAGTTAGTTTCACCTTGTGGTTCAGTCAGAAATTAATGACCAGAGCACATAGTTTGACATGCTCCGGTTTCTACGCTGGTGTGAGAGTCATGGTTTTAACAATCCCATTTGATGCTGACGCACCTCCTCTCACCCCTCCGCCTGGTGCCAGGGATTACTTGCTCTGGCTGCAGATGTCCGGCGCATCCTTAAAATCAAGATCCCTTTGCCCACTCCCTTGGAGTCTAACGTAGCAAGTTGGCTACGGGTTTGGCATAGGTGGTTGCAGTAGTGGAGATAGCTTCTCCCCACCCCCTTTCTTCTGTTCTACCCTCTCACATCCTCCACACTCCTCGTCCTTCTCTCTTTTTTTTTAAGTACTGATGACTGAATCGAGAGTCTTGCAGGCTAGGCTAGCACTTAATCCCTAAGCTGTACCCTCAGCCCTTATAGGCACTTCAGTAAGCACGTGGAGAGGTTCTTCCACCAAACACCTTGAGAAAGCTGCCCAGTGAACTGGATGGGTGGGGATGCGAATGCTACATTGGTTCTCACTGTTCAGCCCTGGGATGGACTAGAGCCCGATAGTCCATTTTCCTAAACATAAACGTAGACAAGGCAGCTGCTCTTAAATGTGAACCCACCATCAACTGTAATAGAAAGGGGACTGGGGACGACCATGAATCTGTATATATAGGTTGAATCACATGAAACTGCCAAAACTTAACTCTTTATTGACTTTCAAAAATGGCAGTGTACGGTAAGATCTAATAACTCCCCAAGGATTTCTAACTTGAAGCCATTTGGCAACCAGCTGGTGTATATAATTGGAATGAGGCTTCCCAACATTTGCTGAAAATGCCTCATAGCTTTCACTGGGTGTAAAGCAAAAATTAAGGACTTGCTTCCCAGAAAAAAATGAGTCCATTCCAACTTCTGTACAATCGGGAAATTTATGGAGCCTGTTCCACACTTTCTGAAGGCTGTAGTTTTCAGGAGTAGACTTCTGCTGCCACCTACTGCTACAATGTTCTTTTTCTTTCTCTTTTTAAAGAGTGATATATTTTTATTTTACTTGAATGGGTGTTTTGCTTGCATCTCTGTCTGTGTGCCACATGTGTGCATTGCCCGTGCAGACTGGAAGAGGGCATCAGACCCCCTGGAACTGGAGTTACAGACGGTTGTTAGTGGTCATATGGGGAATTGAACTTGGGTCCTCTGGAAGAGCAGCCATTTGCTCCAAAGGCTTGGGATCTCCTCAGCATCTATTTACATTGGATTTGCTCTGTCGTCTTGTCAGGCAATCTTCTAGTCTGGGGTTTTGCAGGTGCTGACAGGAAAGTATATCAGACTGAACTGGGACCCCACACCTTTCTTTTCTTCAGTTCTGGGAACTGAATCTCAGACTTCATACCTGTTAGGAACGTGCTCTCCCATTAGATTGCCACCCTAACCCTCGTTAAAATAGATTTTAAAATTGTGCTTAGTCTGTACGAGTGCATGCCTGTGTGGAGGTCAGAGGACAGCTTGCAGGAGCCATTTCTCCCCTTCCACCGCATCTTGGGATGTCAGGCTTTCCCGTCTCACTGGCAGGCTTTGAACCTGCGCTCCACATGCTCGTAAGCCTGCACCACTGGGCCCAGCTTGATTTACTTACAATCCGCAAGTTTCATTGAGCTTTTAGCACAGGGTGTGGCGAGAATTGCTTTAGTGAACTCAGGATAGTTCAGTCTAGTACCGTTTCAGGTCTGCAGTTCCGAGACTTACCGTACAACTCTGCCCTGTGGGTAGCTGAGAGCAATGCAAAGTCACCGTTGGTTTTAGAGGGGGAACTGTGCCCTGCTCTTTCCTCCACTCTGGAGGAAGCAAGGATTGGTTTGTCTATATATTTATTCCAGTACTTCTGTCTATGTGTCTGTTATCTGGCTTCTTCTTTGAACTAGTTGTAGCATCCCTTGGTTCCCACATTAAGATTTCATAAAAAGTTTTACTACATGTGATCTTAGCCAGAAGCAAAGCAGCAAGATTTCATAAAATTAACACATGCTGATTTGGTATTGGTATGAGCCATATCATTATTATTTTTTAAATTATCTGTTTAAAGATTTTGAAATTTGCCTTTTAGTGTGGTTTACTTAACTTTTTTGGAGTGTAAAGTCTGCCATCAGACCTAGTTTTAAATTAAAATGTAAAAATTTCTACCTCAACTGCTATAGCTTGGGTCTGGAAATGCCCCCTAAAGGCCATGTGCTTCAGGACGCAGCAGTATTCTGAGACAATTGAACTTAGAAGAGGTGGGGCCTGTTGGGAGAAGTTAGCATTGGGAACGTGCACATGGAGGGGACTCTGAGGCCCCAGCCAGCCAGGCATGCCAGAGGCCCAGAGAAACAGGGTCAGTTGTGAACCGAATCACCTTACCCCACGAGCCACAATAAGCCTGTTCCAGGCATTTGGCTGCCTCAGGCATTCCAGAGACAGAACCCTCTAAAGCAAAGGATGATTTTTAATGCAGTGTGAGGTACTCTTACGCATACTGGTCCTAATATAAAATGTAATCAAATGTGGAAACAGGCTAGAGATGGCTCAGCTGGTAACAGGCCTGCTGCACAAGCATGAGGACCCGAGTCCAATCCCCAGCACCCACGTAAGATAGCCAGGCATGGGACTGGTAACCCCAGCACTGTGGGGATGGAGACCAAGAAAAAGTAGATCAATCTCTGGAGCTCAGTGGCCAGTCTAGCCAAATTGGTGGGTGACTCTGCCCCCCCAAAACCAAGGGGGACAGCCATCAAAGACACCCCAACATCGAGCTCTGGCCTTGACATGCACACATGTGACCCCAACAAGGACATACGTGCACATGTATCTCCAATGTGCACTTTATGTACACGCATATCCCCCCACATGAACATGTAACACGAATCAAAAAATTAACTACACACATGGAAACAGTCTAAGAGTGGGCAGCTTACGGAAATAGAAGTGGGATGCTAAATTAAAAAGCTTGTTCTAGGACTAACAGCCTCTGTATTTGGAATTTCAAATTAAGGTGGCATCTTTTAAAGCATTTACATGTCCTACCATCTTCACACTGTCCTCAGGGTTGCTGAGTCTATTTTAGATAGAAAAGCTCCAAAAAACTTTTAATAGCCCTATAACGGGAGCAGCTTTTTCCTAACTGAGAGACGACTCAGTTACCAGCACCGGCTGCTCCTCTGGAGGGCACACATTTGATTCCCGACACCTATATGAGAGCTCAGCCATCTGTAGCTCCAGTCCCAGGGGATCCAATGGCATCTTCTGACCTCCCAGGGCACCTGGCACACACACATGGTGTGCAGGCGTACACGCTGTACATAGAAACAAAACAGTAGGGGAGTTTGTTAAGGGGATGGCAGAGCAAATCTGGAGGCTTGGGATTGGGGAGAATGGATACCCTGCCAGTTTCTGTCTAAAATAAATTCATGTGGTCACGTTTTTCACTGGGCCTACAGTATAGAAAACTCTCTGGGCTTGTATTTCAAACTTGAATCTTCAGGTCAGAAATCATTGCTGAAATCAGGAAATACAGTGAGTCCTCATTTACTGTTGTTTCCTAAGGGTCAAGGTATTCATGATTTTTTATTTTAAATAAACATTAGTGCCTGGTTTTTCTTCTTCTTGTCATAGTGAGGCCCAGTACCCTAAACAGAGGAACCCTAAGGCAAATCAATCATTTATTATTATTATTATTATTATATTATTATTTGATTGTCCAAAATAGGACTTCTTTCTGTAACAGCCCTAGCTGTTCTGGAACTAACTCTGTAGACCAGGCAGGCCTCGAACTCACAGAGGTCCACCTGCCTCTGCCTCCCAAGTTCTGGAACGAAAGGCATGTACCACCATTACCCGACACTTTTGTTATTTTAATACCATTGTGATATTTGCATCTATATTTTATTTCAATTAAGTATTCATCTGTAAAGAGTGTGCAATATACAGGCTGATAAGGAAGAAGGGGAGGAGGTATGTCAGTCGACACGTTCAAAACAACTCAAGGCATACATTTTGGCGCATCTTTACAGCTAAGGCACACATGAAAGTCAGACCCAGGTGTCTCTTGCAAGATGAACGGGAGTGCACATGTGTGACCTGGGTTTGGGAAGATGTCACACCTATCTACTAGATGGAGTGCAGAGTCTGCAGCATAGTAACCTCAGACCTTCCCTCTGCATCAATCCTGCAATCAGCTGCATTGGCTTGAGGGAAACCGCGTGAGGCAAGGTAGTTGGTGGGGGCCAGGCAGGGTCTGCTTTACATAGCACCTGGCTGAGTGTGTTCCCAAACAAACCTGCTTGCTGCAACCTAAGCTTGTGAACACACACACCTCGTCATTACACTCCCCCTCACACAGTGAAACTCTGAGTCCCCTTACCAATTCCACAGCAGCACTCGGAGCACAGCAGGCTTGTGACCATCTCGTCATTGCATTTTGATTTTTAAAGTCAGATTTCATGCTAGTTTTCAGTTATAAAATTATAAGCGCCTTCCCTAAGTCTATAAAAATACCCTCAAAAACAGACCTGGGCATTAATAATGCTACCTACTCCATAATATTTCAATTTCAAATTCCCACTTTACAGGCAACTAAACTCAGAATAAAACTGAACATATATGACCAGCCAGTAGTCAGAGACAAGCACTAGGGGAACCTGGAATGTCAGCACACAGGGCTATTCCTTCAAGATAAGGAATGGGATCCACTTGGAAGGCTGGGAACAGAAAAGTGTCTATCTATGTGACAATCTGTGTGGCAGGAGACCACATCTGACCCTCCTACAGACCCCTATCTAAAGCTTTCTGTGCATTAAGTCTACAGGATCCATTATGGAAGGTGTCATGTGTACTTTATGAAGTACTGATGTGGTCACATTGGATCTTTATTTAGCTTACTTTGTTCCTCAAAGAGATTTACGTATGTTTTATTGTATACCCAGGACTGAATTAATTTTCACTGGAAAAGTTTCCATCAAACTGTACTGTGCTTAAATATGTCCCCCCAAAACTACTTGGGGTCAGGCTCCTGAAGTTTGAACTAATAACAATTGCACAGTCGTGCTGAACTGAATTGTCTTCTCGCCTCCTGAGGACCATCATGATGCTAGCAGAGAGGTCGCAGAGAGCCCCGCAACAATTTATCTCCTGACTCCAAATATAGTATCTATGCTAAATCACTTTAGTCCCCAGGGAGCATAATCCTGAAATCATATATATTAGCAAAATGTGCCCCAAATTACACTCTTATCCACTGAATTAACTCAAATAAGAAAGTAACATTAGAACAGTCTGCATAACCAGGAACCTCCAAGTAAACCCTTTATGGGAATTCTCCTGTAGACAAAAAGAGATTAAAGCTCCACACAACATTCACACAAGCTCTAAGATGACATAAAGCAGAGGATACAGTTTGAATTACAATAAAATATCACAAGTTTCCAAGGAAAATCTGAGACAACTCCAAGCTGTTTAATTATTTGAGGGCTGAACAGTCTTCAAGAGAAGTAGGAGCCGCATGGAGGGTAACACTGTCCTGGGTGGCAGATGTCCACTGGGTTTAAACCTATCTCCGTATCTGAGAACTGTTACGATAAAGTGCTGGGGAAAACGCAAAACCCACAACATTCACCTTAGCAACCTTACATAAGCGGCCTACCTGGGAAGCAGCTGGCTTCCACTAGGTGCTGCCATGTACTGCTCAGGCCCATGTACAGTATGCTGAGAACGGGGGGTTCGGCAGCGACTAGAACAGGACCTTGGCCCTCACTGGGTCCTGGACAGAAGGGAACTGCGGATCCAGGAGACAGACGGTGCTACATTCTGAGTGGCAAGTGTCCTGCAGGCCACCCTTCCCCTTCTCTGCCAGGTAGGGACACACAGGAGACACTAAGTGTCTGCTAAGGAGACACAGGGCAGGACAAGGAACACCTCTCCACACTCCACAATTTGAACTAGAATCGTTGTCCAGTTTTATCTTTTTATTAACCCGATTTTTTTTGGTTGGGGGTTGAGCAGTTTAAAACATCAAGGACACAGGTGACCTTCAGAGAAAGAACTAGGTTAATTCCATTCGAGTGACTTAAAGGCACGTGAACAAGTGTTAACTTGTTCGGGTTGATCACATTTGGTTCATTTTTCTGGATTCTGGGAATTGGGAAACACCAGTCCATTCCACAGACACTTACATCCACTGTGAGACAAAAGACAGCTCTTCTGAGCCTGCTGACATTTAAAGAGTATTTCAGTAGACAATCAGATGATTATTGACTGTGCCCTAGTCACCCGCTTCGGGCATCTAGGAAAATAACCACCCAACACCCCACAAAAAATGTAATGACATTTTATGTTAAGACAATGAAGAGAATTTTAGGCATGTCAGAAAAGAAGTGGGTTAATAACAGGAAAGAGAAAGAAAAAAAAAAGCCCTTCAAAGTCTTAAGTTAGAATAAGCTCTCTAGTAATTAAAACCTTTCTGGTCACAAGAGATTGAGAGTCTAGGTAAAGCAGCAGCAAGCAACTTCTCTGTAAGAGAATAGTCTAATTGCACACATAATTCACAAGTTAGTCTTACTTTGCTTGATACTGGTAAAAACTCAGCTTTACGCCAGTCATAAAATTTAACTGAGAAATCACCCAGCGCTGGTCAGTTCTTGTTAGGGTGAAAAAGCACTTGTGCATTCTAATCCACCATTTCCCCTCTTCAGTCTCTGAAAGTTAAGTTGAATAGCCAGAAATGGTCACACCCAAAGGACAGTAGCCAATTACCAAACTACAATCACCAACAGGCTTGATTTCTAATAGAAGATATTTGACTTGGAAAAAAAATCTCCAATAATAAGTTGGACATTTTTGGAAGAAAAAACAATTTGAAAAATAGCAATGTTCTAGATTGTTAAGAAACCATGGCCAACACACTGTAGACACAGGTCAGACTCTTACAGGTTAACTGGTGAAAGAGGAAATGTTCAGGAGTGGGGAGACAATTAAGAAACCAGCTTTCTAGGTTAAAACTTGATTCTGAGTAGACCTTGTCAAGGGCTGTCTTTTAATATCAGCTTGATTATTTTTATTCTGTATCCATGGTGACTGAGTATCATAAACTAGCTGACTCGTTTATTACAAACACCAAATGCAGGAAGTTATAAAACTATGCTAAGATGCACATCAGCTGATGGACATTAAGTAAAGCGATCATGTCAGTAGTGGGGACAGTCACACCAATTTTCCACTGGTAAAGCAAGTACTGTCAATGTTTTGTGGCTTACCACTGAGCTCCTCAACACATACGCTAGAGGCATTCTAGTCCAATTTGTTTCATAGGCAGGAACATCACCATGTTGGGAAAAGTTTAACTTAGGCAAAAAACTTATGACGCTGGAGTTAAAAAAAAAAAGGCCAAAACCAAGGCAGGAAATGACTGTTCTTAGTACCTAATACAGACATCTTTTAAATAGAAATCTGACCAGGAAGCTTTTAAATATCATTTCCTTTTTCAAACTGAGAGGGGAAGGGGGGGGGCTGATATTTTGTGGTAACACTTAACTGATAAAAATGCTGACTATGGAATACAAAAAAAATTAAGAATAGAATACACACAGAAAATAGACCCTCAAATAGTTGAGTACATTTTCAAAAGTAAATAAAAAAATAACTATTGCTTGCTTTTTCAGGAATCAACTGCAGGAATAGGACAATGAGGCTTCCCTAGGCGGGAGGTGTTGCAAGAGGCTCAGGGGCTACTAAAGGCCCAGCTAAGACCCACACCACCAGGAAACCAACTGGTGATGCATGGTGAGCTTGTGTAAGGTAGGGGACAAAGCCTTTCCTTCACCTTTGTGGGTGGAATGGAAGCAATGAGAGAAAAATTGAGGTCAAAGTGCCACTTGTCGGGGACAGGCTACAAGTGAAAATCAGACTCCTTCCTCCACCCAGGTCTCTGAGTGTCCTCTGGGAAGCAGGGCAGATCTAGCGCTGGCCAGTGGCTCTGATTTGGCCGGAGACAGAAGTGCCTTTTCTTCCTACCAGAAAACTTGAACGATCTTGTGTAAACAGCAGCAGACAGATCCCCTTAGGTTCTTCACCAATGCTCTAATTAGATGTAGGAGTCCCTGAGAACTACTTCCACAGTACTTTATATGCACAGGCCATTAGCAGACACAGAACAGCACAAAAATGCCCGCTCCACACCACGACACTCGACAGAACGTGCTCAGGCTGGCACTGAGCAGGGTGTTCATACAACCATTATGACTGCCAGCCTTGGTTTAGTCATCTCTCAAGGACCTACACTTTCTCAAGTTTTAACAAACTCTGTTTTGAGGAAATCTATTTTATTTATTAATTTTCAAATTATGTGCTTTGGTGCTTTGCCTGCATGTATGTCTGTATGAAGGTGTCGGACTCCCTGGAACTGGAGTCACAGACAGTTGTGAACTGCCATGCAGGGGCTGGGAGTTGAACCAGGCTTTGCAAGAGCAGCCAGTGCTCTTAACCTCTGAGCCATCTCTCCAGTCCGTTGAGAAAATCAGTTCTATTTCAATTAACTAAGCTAAATCAAAAGGCAGTCAAGAGGGCTGACAAGTTCCCTGGCTGTAAGAGTTCTGCAGTCATCCGCGGATGACCTATAATGGCTGGTGAGCTGAATCACTTCGAATGTTTATGTTGGTGATTCTGTCTGCAAGCGACAGAAGACGTGCACAGGGATGTAGACACCAAGCTACACTGCAAAGACAAGGAAGCTTACATGGCCACAGCACTTAACAGTTGGCAACCACATTACCACATATTACAAACTGGAGAAGCTGCTGCCTGAGCCTCAAAATATGGAAGCAGGGAAGAAGTACTTGGTGCTCAACAGATAAAACGCTCACACTGAGTAAGGAAGGACTAAAGCAGTCGCTGGACCCTTGGAGAACAATAAAAGGGAGCGCATGAGAACTTAGACATTCCAGGGCCATGGAGCAAAGCTTCTGAAATTCACAGGCGTCCACTAAAATGAGAACTCAGTACCAGAGCAGCAACTTCCTCACTGGTGTCAGCACAGGCAGTAGTGATTCTGCTTAGTATAGTACCTAAACATCCTAAAACCAGCCCACGATTCTACGGCACCTAGCATTATTAAACAATCCAGCTTCAGCACACTAACTCTGGCCTTTTTTTTTTCTTTTACAGTGAAGTACCCGGAAAAAGTCCATGAAGTACAACAAAGAGGTATACTAACTGACAGATGAGCCACAGGCCCCGCCAATGTTAGGTTTCTGAAGACGCAGGGGATATGTAGATTTGTAGATTCCCGTGAAGACTGCCTCAGGTATTTGTAACAGTAAGCAGTGGAGGAACCTCACTGTCGACACTTGCTGCTGGTGCTACGCCTTTCCCACTGCTTGTCTGAATACTGTTTACTGGGAGCAGGCAAGGAAGGAACTAGTTTTCCATATGGTCTGTAGTTTTTTTAACCCAAGTAAATGGATGCTAGACTCCTGCATCAGTACTTCGTGGCTGGAAACCCTCCTTCCGAAGGCCACCCATGTCAAAGCGGGTAGAGACTTCACAGCGCACTAATAATGTATCATCCTTAACGAAGGTCCCCTGTCTTAAGGCTTCCAGATGCATAAATGTTACGTAGCCAAAACCTTTGGGGTTCCGTGGGATTGTGGGACGCTGAAAAGCAAGCAGCTCTGGTTTAGCATCCATGACCTCTTCGTGGTTTTGCCTTATTACTGCTTCAGACTGATCAAGAATTGTAAGGCGTATGGTGCCCTGGAAGGGCCAGGGGAGATGACTGTCATAATCTCCTTGCATTGTGTGGACAAACAGGGATATATAGTTTGCACAGCGCTGAGCAGTGGGTAACTGAAGGTGCAGGCGCATGCACAGCTTGTACCCAGGTCTGCCTGTGTAGAATCCTGGGCTATGAATGACAACAGGTTTTTCCTCTTCTTGGGATTTCAAGTGCATCCCAAAGTTGCCAATCTTCCAAATGTAAATCCCATTACACTGCTGTGCTTCCATTTCAGCAACTTTGTCCTCAAGGGTTCGAATGGTCCGTTTGAGCTCATTTACATATATACTCTGAGTTTCCATTTTGGCAGTCAGTTCCCGGATTTGATGGTCCTGTCTTACTAGGCGACTTTCCAACTGTTTGATAGTTTCCTCATAATTTGGGTCCTCTGGACAACATCCCCGGGACGGAGAGGAAGTATCACATGTACGCAAAGCAAGGTTTACATCATGAACAGCCTGGGCCAATAGTCTCATGTGCAACTGGGTATTCTCTTGCAGGTGTCGCGCCAAGTGATTTCTCTGCATCTGAAACAAAGCACAAGTCACAAGTTGGGAGCATTCACTGAGGAAGAAGAAAAGGACCCAGTCAGACAGACAAGAGGTTTGAAAAGTAGCATCACAATTTCTCTTAAACCTTTATCACTTCTCTGATCCAATGAAATAATTCTCTTATTTGACTGGTGCTAACTCAAGAGCACTCAGCCGTTACTCCAATTCATCTCCCTTCTGTCAAGGTAGCATGGATACCCATCCTTCTTTGTTAACCTGAAGACAGCAAACACCCAGGTCTCCTTCTCCCATGTTCCTTCCTCTAATGTTTCTCTCATCAGAGTACAGCTAATAAAACTTTTGCATTAGAAAAACAAAGCAAAGCTTTCTACGGATCATGCTTCCTTTAGTCAATATCATTTTTCTCCCCTTTAAAGCCGCCTGAGCCTACCTCAGCTCCCCTTATGGTGCTGACTTACTGCGAACTGCCATCTCCACAGCATTCTAAGACCACCAAAAATCCTAAATGTTCTATGATAATCATAACTATAAAATAATGTATATTACAGAAAAATAGAAAATACAGGTGATTAAAAAGAAAACAGGCTACCTATTATCTGTCTTAGAATTTTGATATCCTTCAGTTTTTTCTCTATGCACACATAATATAGAACTTCCTCATAACCTTTAAGTATGAGTTACCATTCTATTTTATCTTTTAAGCTGTGAAATATGTTTATTCTAAGTACTGTAAAAGTAGAACAGAGAAAAACATGTAATTATGTGCCCCAGAGAGAATGAGGCCATAGTAAGAGTGACACATAGTAAGCTGTCAGACACTTCACACTGTGACCTCATCTTAGAGCCAACCTAGTCCTCCTTACCATGCACTTGTTTTGAATACTGTTTGTTCAGGTTCTTGCCTTGCTCACCTCTCTTTCCTGTAAGACGAATTATGTAGCACTGCAGTACTGTTCCAAGTCAGTGCTCTGGGCTGCACATGGGCCATCTCCATTCGAATGCACAGAGCTGGCTAGACTCACTACCACTAAAACACCTTTTCTTTCTTTCTAAGTTCTCAGCTGCACAGCTCTTTCTGTGTTTACTCTTTTTGTTCAAGTCTTTCCTTCCAACCCAGTGACTGAGACCATAAACCTACAGTCATTCTGGATGCCCCCTTCTCTGCCTATTGTATCTACTTCATTACTATTAGACCTTCCCTCCTAAATGTGTCTAGGGTTCCTAGATCTCTCTCTCTCCATTCACTTTCATTATGCATGCTGACCTTATTTTGAGTGTTGTTAGTAAAAAGTTCAGATACTGCCTTTCCTTATTCTACTTTATATCTTCCTTGTTGTCGCTAGATTGAACAATATTAAAAAAAAAAAAACCGAACCTCCAAACAAAAAAATAAGTCACCACACTTACTCTCACTTTCTCTCGTCTTCTTGTCTGTTTTTTTTTAAGTAAAATTTTATTTTTATTTTAAACTACAGGTAGGTGTGTGTGTCTGAGTTTGGGGATGCATGTGAATGCTTGTGCTATACAGAGGTGTAGGAGTTCCTGGCCACTGTGAGCCACATGATGTAGGTCGGTGCCAGGAACCACTGAGACATCTTGCAGAGCTGCCCTGAACACTGTTTTCCCCACCTGTTAAGATTCAGTCCACAGGCTGATAAGACGGCAATGGTGCCTGCCACCAAGACTGACAACCTGAGATTGATCTCCTGGTATCTACATGGGCGAAGAAAGAACCGACTCCTATCAGCTATCCTTTGGCCTCTACATGTATGCCATGGAACACACGTACCCACATGCGTACCGATGTGCATATGTGCACACACGCACACACACAAATTAAAAAGGGCAAAGATTCAGTTATATGTTCATTCATGTGTACCTAAATACTTAAGCCATTACTAAATGTGTAACAGCATTAATATTCATAATAACTTACAATAACAGTGTTTATATATAAATGTTTCTAAACACTTAAACTTAAATTTGTTGGTATTCTTCAGTATAGACCTGAGTATGGTGTGTGTATAATATATATATATTTCTGAATTCATATTGTAGAATTAAAAAAAACCTTACCTTCTCATGACAACCAAAAACACTGAAGGTGCAAGGGATTGGTGCTGTCGGGCAGTCCAGATCGTAATGATTAGGCATCTGAAAATCAAAATGAAGCTGAAAAATGTCTTTCCCGGAATATCATGCTCTAGATGATGACAGTACATTTAAAATCTTAAAGTAAGCAAAACTGTGTATTATCTACAGTTTTTTCACAATTCTGAGAAAAATTAAATATTAACATCTTACATCACCCAATTCACTAAACTTCATTTCTTAAAATGGGTTTGTTTCTATGATAGAACACTGGTGCCCTCTTGTGGCATTTACACACCCTAACAACTTCCACAGCAAACCCTCTGAACAGACCTATTACTTCCCGTATGACAATCTTTTATAAATCATCTTATCTTTGAAACTCAGGCATATTTATTTTGGCTCTACTGGGGAACTTGGTTATTATATGGTAGAGATACAACCATCCTTGGCTGGATACAGCACCCCAGACTCGACTGGTCATAGGAGAAGTGTCACAGTCAGCACAGTCAACCCTGCCTGACGTTTGTTATTCTTCTGGAAATAGGACTGAACCTGGGCACAGTCCACGGAGGTTTTTCAACATTTCTAGAAATAATACAAGAATTTTCCCTCCTGTGTGTTTTCAACTTGCTTATTTGTGGTCCATGATGCCAGCTGAGGTTCTCAGTATAATAAAGCCAAACTGACGGGATGGGAGCAGATTATTCTGCCATTTTTTCTAGGTCTTTGAGCTCTCAAATCTAGGGCTGATCACTGCACAGTTGCTCAACCTGCTAGTGCAGTTCACAGCATTTTCCCCAGCTCTGTCATCATCAATGGTTTCAAATTCATCACTGTGGCCAGGCTTCACCCCCACGGTTAGGAAGGGAATGATGATTCTGGAGCACGGCCCGAGAAGGGCCTGGCATTTGCCTCTCTTCTCGGCAATGTTGATCCTCTTGAGAGCATCTGTCAGTGCATTCTTGCGCTCCATGAGGGAAGATGGTGAAGACACTTCAGCATTTAGTTTAGGGTGAGATCATCTTTTTAAAATAGTACCAAAGGAGCAGGGTATGATGGTACATGCCTTTAATCCCAGCACTTGGGGGCAGGGGCTGCTGAGTCTGACTGGCTTGATCTACACAGTGAGTTCAGGCCAGCCACGGCTACATACCCAGCCACAAACAAACAAACCCAAAAGCCAAAAATAAAAAAAACCAGAACCAATCAACCAAACACAGAAAAGGTACCAAGGGGTTGGAGAGGCAGCTCACTATGGGAAGAGTACATTCACCTAGCAGTACATTCTGTACTGGAGTGTATTCCAGTACAGAAAGGAAAAAGAAAGGAAAGGAGAAGAGGAGGAAGAGAAAGGGGGGAGAGACAGAAAGAAGGAAGAAAGAAGTCATGTGAAAGTTGGGTCCACTTTTCACTAGAGATTGAGCCATAATTGTGGACCAAAGTTCAGTTTTTCTGAAGTTTCACTATGGTTTTTGTCTTTATTAAATTTTACTTTCATTGAGCTTTTATAAGTTTGGCATAGCATAGTTTCCTTTAAATATTAATTGAGAACAAAAAAGAAAACCAGGGGTACAAGATGACTTCATAAGCAAAATGTTTAACACCTTCAAATTAGGATTCTTGGGAAAAACACTACAAACAAACCCATGGGAACATTTAGTCAACATCTTACCAAGTAAGGCAGTCAGTGAGGTTTTCACTATACTTCTAGCTCACACAGATTTAGTGACTAATATTCATCCTTTGTGGTAAACTCCCTAACTTTCAACAGAGAGCAAATCTGATGGAATTTTCCTTTATTAGCAGTTAAAGTATAACAGTTTTCTATGACAACTGTTGCCTTTGGCGATGCTCTGCAGTGGTTCTGGAAACCCTCTGCATTCTGCAGGAGCTGGTGCTGCACAGCACTGTGCTGCTGAGCCGGAGCTTTCTTCTGCTTCCTCGTTCTCTCGGTCAACCTCCAGACGACCAGGCCTCATGCCAATGTGTAAATGTGTTCTTCTACAAGTCTGTTTTTAAGTGGGGCCCTTCACTTTCAATTGTTTTTATTTGAAATTCATCTGTTTTGGTTCAGTTTTGATTTCTTTGTCTGTGCTGGGCACACTAGGTAGGGTCTCTAGTCCTCTGAGTTCCATTCCTAGCCAATGGAATCCTTTTATTTTTTTTATTTTTTGAGAAATGTCTCTCTATGAAGTCCAGGAACTCACTACGTAGATGAGGCTGGCTTAGAACTCAGAGATCCACCTGCTCCTGCCTCCTGAGTGTTGTGTAAAGGTGTACACCAGCCACCATGATTTAAGCATCTACAAATACTAATTTTTGTTCCTTGTAAATATTTATTCAATTACATTAACTTATATATTTTTTGTACAGCAGAATGCTTCAACATATACTGACTTTGCCTTATTTTTTATATTCTCAATTAAAAAAAAAACGGTAGCACTTCTTTAAGCTCTTAAGGACACAGTAATTTGCAAAAGAGACACCTACCTGTTCTCTGATGAGGATTGTACCACAGTATTCACAGATGATATTTGCCAAAGGACAAGTCTGATCATGGATCTAAGTTGTATGAGAGAATTAAGAAATGTATGAGAAAGTCTGAAAACATAAAAAGACTAATTTTTACAGTAATTTTTTTCACTGTATGCAAATGAAGAACATTTATGTACAGTCACAACATGAGACTTTTTCTAGTTAATGAGACTCGGTTTTCAATCTCCTTCAAAGAATTTGTTAGCATGCAAAACAGATATGACTCCTTTTGAACTTGAAGCAGAGCACCCCGGAGTAGCATGGCTATCACCGGCTGGTGTAATTCTCCAAGGGCAAAAGTTTTAGCAGCAGCATAACAAGCTAATTACAATTCTTTCCAGTAACTTAAAGCAAGCAAGCCATCAATCAAAAGGTGTTAGGGCACAGACTTTGGTACTTAAGCTCTCAGAAAAAGGAGTCCCACTTTGTAGAACACAGTAACTCTGGTTTAACAGATATGCTGAAAAGAGACAAGCCTTCCTCATCAGTTCACCAAATCTGTTCCAATTATGACTGAGATTTTACATATTTATCATTAGCAAGTTAGCTGAATTTTCTTGACTATTTTATTTATTATTATTATTATGGTTTTTTTTTTTTTTTTTTGGTTTTTCAAGACAGGGTTTCACTGCAGCTTCGGAGCCTGTCCTGGAACTAGCTCTTGTAGACCAGGCTGGCCTTGAACTCACTGAGATCCACCTGCCTCTGCCACCTGAGTGCTGGGATTAAAGGTGTGCACTACCATCGCTCAACAAGTTTCTTGACTATTTTTATCAACACACTTAATATATAAAATGCTCAATTTTCTAAGAAACAAATTTAGAAGAGTATAAATTTAAGGAAGGAACTAAGTATCAGTTATAGAGGAAGATAAACTAATGCAGGTTATTTTAGTAAAGAGTACAAGGGTAGGGTTTCAGTGTCACCGGAACACTGAAACATTAGGGTGAAACTAATTAGCCTCTTTACAACCCAGCGGATGGAAACAAGTGCCCTCCCTCATGATGCTGCCAGGCACCATACTGTTTCTTTTTAAAGGTTAGCTTCAACTGAAGGATAATATATGCACTGAAAAGTGAATGGAGCCAATGGCTTAGTGCCAGTGGAACACACTTTGCTGTATTTAATAAATTCTTTCTTACAGATGCAATAGTTGACACCCTATGTAAACCAGTCTGTATCCCTCTTCCACAGTATCTGCCACCAGACCATTCACTAATATTCATGGACAGGGAGGAAAGCAGCAGGTATCTTTCCTACAGCTCCTGTTCATTGTTTACTCTCAGTAATTAGTCTAATGCTTTCGAAGGATATGGAAATATAAACTCCATATTTAAGGTCCCTGGGTTCCCTGAAACTTCATTTCTTTCATAAAACTTAGCTTTTAAAAACTGATAATATAGCTGGGTGGTGGTGGAGCAGATCTCTGAGTTTGAGGCCAACCTGGACTACAGAGTGAATTCAACAACAAAAAAATTAAAAACAAAACCTGATAATATAAATTAATTTTTGTATTTACATCCTTATCTTAATGCTAACCCCTTCAGATATGTACTTTAAATGTAACGAACAAATCTAAGTTAGTACACACCTCTTTTTCTTCAAATGGCATGGACACAGCACAGTTTACACAAGACACCTGTCTCCTGGGACAATCCTCCATAACATGTATATTAAACTGGCACTTTTGGAAAGGACGTTGACATTGGGGACAATTCATAAGAGCAAATTCACAATGTGCTTGGTGATCCTGTGATAAAGGAAAATAATTGATTAGTATCTGAAAACCCTAAAAATGTTTTCTAAAGATAATCTTTTCCAAGAAAACAAGTTTTCCTTTCAGAATTACTTTTAACTGTCAATCTGACCTAACACAAGTCACCTGAGAAGGGAGTCTCAATTAACGGACTGCACAGATCAGATTGGCTTCTGGGCACGTTTACAGGGGACTGTTTAACTGTTAACTGATGGAGGAGGGCCAGCCCACTGTGGGTGGCACCATTACGTGGGCAGGTGGTCCTGGGCTGTATAAGAAAGCTAGCTGAGTAAGGGCCTCTGAGCTAGCAAGGAAATCGTGCTCCTCCAAGGATTCTGTGTGAGTCCAGGCCTGACTTCCTCAACAACAGATTACGATCTGGAACTATAAGCCAAACACAGCCTTTCCTACTCTAAACTGCTTGGTCAGAGTGTATCTTCACAGGATAGAGACTAAATATGGACAGTAACAAAAGACCACACTCTCTAGCCACATACAGCATGGAGGCCTTAATAAAGTCTTTCAAACAATAATTGTGATGTCAAGTTTATAAAAAGAATAAGAAGTCTCAAGTTAAATTTCCAGTTAGAGAAGTTTTGGAAAGAAGTTAGATTTCCAGATTAGTAATTTATTCTGTGCTGAAAGGGTAATGGAGGCCCAAAAATGTGAGCCTATTCCACCTTGTCTGAAGGTCAGAGTTTGAGCTTACTCAAAGTTGTTGACAACAACTGTGTCTACACACCCTGACCTAGGGTGTGGTTGCTTGGTGTTTTGAACATTAATATGGCCCATACAGGTAGATCCACTCTACCCTGACCAAAGGTCAGAGAATTTACTTCTTTTGAAATAGGAGGTTTGACCTATGGTGTGGCTACCTTCAGGATACTTGGTCTAGGGTGGGCTCACTGCCTAAACAACAGAATGCTTTTCTCATGAATTAATGGCTTGATGTCTCAAGCACTGAAGCAAGTAACTGTTCTGGCTGTCCTTTGTATCATGTTAAAGCAGTCTTTTGCCTTTGTCCCCCTTTTGTATACCCCCTTGGGGTATAAAGTGCATGGAAAAATAAACACCGGCTAACTCAGAACTCGAACTCAGAAAAATTCACCATTCAGTGTTCACTAAGTTGCCCTCCTGTTCCTATCCTGTGTCACTGTGATTCCTCAACTTTTCTAGTCTTCACGCCCCTACCCTGGGACACAAACCCGCCACGGCTAGGAAAGGTGGCTCCCAACATATGGCAGCCCACCATGGCATGGCTCACAACAAAGGGTAACTCCCACTAATAGGACTAAAGAGGTGGCTCACTGGTTAAAAGGGAATGCTGTTCTTCAAGAAGACCAGATTTCTGTTCTCAGCACCCTCACTGGGCTGTAAACAACTTTCTGTAATCCCAGGGAATCCAATACCTCTTCTGGCCTCCATGAGTACCTGCGCATACCACACACACATACTGAAAGGAGGAAATCTTTTTTTTTTTTTTTTAAAAGAACAAAATAAAAGGGACAGACTTGAAACCCAACCTAAACATTCATAAACTATATGAATATTTGATCCAGGGAATAAAAAAATGTGCAATTTAAAAAAATAGAGAAAGTATGACGAAGGTACTGAGATGATGGCTGTAAGACACTTTGTTTCTTATTTCAAAATGAGAGAAATAAAGTTAGGTTAAGATGTAATCTGCAATTAAGGAGCCCTTCAACTGTTGAACTGTAAAAGTGCTTATCTGAAACCCTCCCAAGAGCACAGACTTATTTTATTGTGGGGACAAAGTCAAAGTAGAAAGAATAAAACATTTTCTGTTTTTTTTACACTTAATGATGGCAAGAATTTACTCACCCATCCTGATCTGCTATAACGACACACACACAACAGGGCAGTCATTATGCTCTACAGACTACACTGTGTAGTGACAACAGCTAGAAAACATCCTTAATACCTCGAGGTGTCTCAGTTCCATCTTCTGCAAACAGCCTTTATTTGGGCATTTTACTGTTAGGGAAAGGATCTCTCGCTTTGCAAAATTGTCAGGAAACAGTTGATTTTCCAGCAGTATTTCATTGTCAACTGGACACTTGTGACCTGCATCCCTAAAAGAAGCAGGAACTTAAAGTTAGTAGCCTGAAACGTTCACCTTGGAAGACTGACTGCAGCTCTCCTTATGAAATAAGGCATGCATTATATTTCACAACAACACTAGAATGACAGTGCACTGTGAAGTTTATGAATTCACTTATGAAATGGATGCAAACTAGCACTGCACTATTTATCAAAAGCAGATGGGCTGTAGATGGTAGGATAAATTCCAGCTGGAAAATAAGCAAAACACTGTATAAAATTATAGTTTGGCATAAAAATGAAGTGAAGGTCAGTTAGGAAAGACTTCTGGCAGTCTGGACGGCTGTGCTCTGTAACACCTCTACAGTCGACCACTAAGTCAGACTACGCTGCTTACAGTCTTATCAACACATTCATAGTGTTACAAACACAAACTGGTTAGCAGAACCCTCTGAGGCTTCTGGTAAGCTCTGAAGTGAGGTCTATGATGACACCATCTCCTGAGCCACAGAATGATTTCATTTGCATATCGAGGGTGAACTACCGCAGAGCTAGAGGACTTCTGTGGTGGGCTTTCCCGGTGTTCTACCTCCCTCATCTTTGGTGGGAAAAATCAGCCTCAGAAAACCCGGGAGTCTGCCATTCCCTTTGAACTTTTTGATTTTCAAAATATCATTTTAAGATATTTTATTTTTAACTATGTATCTGTATCTGTGTGGGGGCATGTCCACATGAACACAGGTGCTTATGGAGGTCAGAGGTATTGGGTCCTGTGGAGCTGTAGGTATAGGCAGTTATGAACTACCTGCTGGGGGTTCTGGGAACTGACTTGAGTCATCTGCAAGAGCAGTAGACGCCATCCCTCCAGCCATCCAGAGGTCTCAGTCTTGTGTCACAAAATGTGACCATCAGGTAAGCCACGGGAGCCTTAATCAATCACTGAAGCGTTTCTTCAACAGTGCTGTCAAACAGCACAGGACTAAGAGAGACAGAGCTGATCTTTATGGGTTCTGTTTAAGATTACATAATGCCAGGTATGGGATCTCTGTGAGTTCAAGGTCAACCTGACCAGGCAGGGAGCTCCAGGACAATTAAGACTACATTCCTTGTCTCAAAAAAAAAAAAAAAAAAAATTACACAATAAACTAGCAAATACTTTTAAAACATAGAAAGTGGAAACAAACTTTGTAAAACATGTGTATCTAAGGGAAAGTAATAACTTTACAAAGTAAATCTAAAACCATTACCCACAGTTTTAGAAAACCCAAAAGAAAATGAATTAGACCAAGACCCATTTTGATTTCTTGAATGATAGTCAATGAAGACTTTGCAGCAGTTCCTTTTAAGAGATTAAAACCATAGTACTCTGTCATTTCTAGTTTTGAGGGAAACAGGACTAAGGCCTCAGATTTCCTTTCGTGGGATTTGTTTCTCTTATCACTATCCTACAACTTTCAAAACATTTTGCTACAAAGATTAGCGAGGTAGCTTCCTGGACACTTGATGACACCGTGTGCATGTCTCCCTTATAGACATCAGCACGCTGCATGTGCTACATTAAAACAGGGACGTGAGGATGAGCCTTAACCACCTGGCTGTGATCTAAACCAGAGGCCCCAGGGGACACTGTGACCTCACAGGCTGAGCTGAACGTGGTACTATTAGCATCCAGTGGACACACAGAAGGCACGAAGCTCAGGGTCTAAAAGAAGACATCCTGCCTCAATCAAGAATCATCTGGCTCAAAATATCAACAGCACCAAGGCTGGGAAACAAACACATAACATAACCTTATCCTCTATAGTTCCTACTGATTCAATGCCAGGCAACACGTTTCCCCTCAAATTAAAATAATGTGCTGATCCTTTGTTACTTAATTCAAGCCCCAAGGATGGAGTTTTATTGAAAAGCTGGTACAGAAATTGAGAGGTAAGAATTCATAGACCATTGAATATGCCAAGATGGCCTTAGTCTATTTAGGAATCACTGCAGTTTGGTCCCTAATGCAGCAATGCTCAAAACAGAGCTTTGGAGATGTGACTGGAACTCAATGAGGGCTCTGACCTCCTCAGTGGATTAATCCATTTGAGGGTTCAGTCTGTTGGTCAGTGTGAAGGTAATGGAAACCCAGGAGGTGAGACCCAGCAGAACTGAATGAGAATCTTTTTGTCTTGTATATTTTAATCCAGTTACAACACTCATACACCAAGCACCTACTGTGAGGAAGGCACTATTGCTATAACTAGAGAAAGCCAGTTTAACATCTCAGTCTCGAGGATCTACTTTCCAGTGCTGTAGGCAGAAAACAAAAACAAAAACAAACCCGCATCAGTTATCAATTGTTTAAGGGAAAAATGCTAGGGGTAAAAAAATCAAAGCCTAGCCTGATAAGGGAGCCTCCTTTCATACTGCAGCACAAACTGGGATAGGCCCCTAACTCACTCACTTTCCCGTCATCTTCTTTTTTTCAGAGCAGCTTTTTCTGTCTGCCTACTCTTAGGATGACCTGTTTCTTCTCTTCCTTCTTTCCTTTTTTCTTTTGAGACAGGTTTATTTCTATGTAGTCCTGGCTGTCTTGGAACTTGCTCTGTAGACCAGACTGGCCTCAAACTCAGGGATCTTCCCGCCTCTGCCTCCTAAGTGCTGCGATTAAAAAAGGCATTTGCCACCACCACTCTAGGGATGGCCTGTTTCTAACATGTTCTTTGTATTTGGTTGTTATAAGCATCGTTCTTTCTTAAAATCAAATACCTTATGGATTTGATGATGCAGGCTTTGCAGAACCTGTGGCCACATGGTGTTTGCACTGCTTCCCGTAACGCCATCAAGCAGATGGGGCACTCATACTTGCTCTCCAAAGGTGGGTCAAACTCCACATCGTATCCCTGGATCTCCTCCATAAAGGAGCTGGAGAAGTTCCCCGTGCTGGCGGACCCACTCACACTGTCATCTTTCATCGCAGCACTGCAGGAGGCGGCCATGGCAGCACAGCAGTCACTTGAGGACTGGCTGGACCCACAGCTGTTTTCACAGTTTAACAGACTCATAGTGGCTTTGTTATCAGTCAATCTGCACACAAAACGAGAAAAAAATGCTTCAGCATGCAAACACATAGCTTATCCATATTAGTCACCTAGTAGCCCACACATACTGTTTTAATATTATTTACAAATAACTTCTAGAGTGACTACCACTTCATGGTAAGTTATCTGATTCCCTCCTTCAAAATGTTTATGAATCACCTATGTCGAACACAAAGGAAAGTTCCCAGTCTATGCAATGACAACGGGAGGCTGGAAAAGAAAAGCCCTTCAGTTACTACGCCCGAGCATCTGTTTACACCAAGATCGGGAATTTAGTGTTCACTGCCATGCCCAGCACAAGAGTTTTTCACATAGTGGTAGATGCTCACTAAACATCTACTGAGAAGGTTTTTCACGTAATCAAGGGTCCGTTAGGTATTCTTAGTTGAAGAGAATAGTACAGCCTGCAGGGAACAGCAGTACTGGGTGTGTGTGTGATCTGGACCACTCAGAACTTAAACCCCATGTGGATTTCTAAATGCTCAGCATGGCAATTTCTTTTATATAGAAGGAATGGAATTTAAAAGTGTATATCTTTCTGCCTTCAAGTCAGATCAGATGACCATGTTTCACTACTAGTGACTGGAAAAACATGTGAGGTTTCTTTGCCTATGGAAAATTATTGTATTAGGAGCAGATAGATGCCTTCACATTCTAAACTGTTATATTATATATATGAGATATAGATGTTTAAAAGCAACTTATAATACCTATAACCAGTCATGTCTTTAGCTTAATTATCCTCGAGGAAATTCCTAATGTAAACTATAGTTCTAGAAGCAGAATGCAAACCTCTAGTCAATACAGCAGACAATAACCCCCATACCTGTCTACATAAAAATTCTGTCTGCCAGTTTGCCAATTGGAGGATTAAGCTACCAGGTCAGTGAGATGGCTCAGAGGGTAAAGGTGCTTGCCTCTAAACATGACCACCTGAGTCTAACCCCTAGAACCCGTAAGTTGTCCTCTGACCTCCATACAGGTGCCACCTACACTCCTCTCACACAGCAGTACACAAATGTATTAAAAACAATAAAACCCCTAACAACAACAACAAAAGGAGTTCTCCGTTGGGTCTGGGGGGGGCAGGTCTGTAATCTTAACTACTAGGGAAGCTGAGGCAGGAGGATGGATTCTGGATGAGCCTAGACAACTTAGTGAGAGCCCGCTTTAAAACAGTCAAAAGAGGGTTGAGAAACAGCCCAGTGGCAGAGGACTTGCCTGGCCACTGTGAGGCTCTAGGTTCAACCCCCTGAACTGGAAATAAAGACAGGGCTCCCAGTCTTTGCACCCCTAGAAACAAACACCTTTCTGCATGCCTCAAGTCTTTCAGTCGCTGTCTGACAGGTTCCTACAGAAGCAGGAGGGGCTGGAGGACAGCTCAGAGGTGAAGAGCTCCTGCTCTTCCAGGGGATCTGAGCTGGAGCCCTTCTCCCATGCTGGGTGGCTGATCCATCAGTAACTCTGGCTCTAAGGGAATCTGGCTTCTCTATGCACCTGGACTCGCATGGACAAATAACAGAAAATAAAATAAATCGTAAAAAAAAAACAAAAAAAAACAAAAAACAAAACAGAAAAACCAAAACATTGAAGTGCAGTGCTCTGGTCGCAGGGGCAGAGCTGTAGTGCAGTGCAGCCTCGGGGCTAGGCAGTCTGCAGCTAGGCCTTTCTTAGTCTTGTGGTCACGACTGGGGCAAACCGGATAACCCTATGCTTCAGTTTCCTCTCTTATTAGTGAGAGTTCCTGCTAGGATGACATGTGTTAATATGCACTGAACACTGAGAGCTGTAGCTGCAGTCAGAACAAGTTATTATTTCATACAGTTTTACACAGGATTGTCTTCGCTTATTAGAGTGAAACCATAGAGTTTAAAAAGGTCAACTTGCCTAAGATCACCAATTAAGTAGCAGAGTGAGATCAATCCACAAGTCTACCTGACCCCGGAACCTTCTGCATTATGTTTATCTGTGTTGTGACAAAATAATTTGAGATTTATTTCTTTTAAAGTGCTGTCCAGTGTTAGTACACTGAGTTGATTTAACTCCAAAAAGTCACCTGACACCTCATACCATTTTACTTTATTTTTGATATAGTTTTGAAAAGTTGAAATTACCTCCTAAAGCCTTGCCATTTCTAACGTGAATTCCTCGGACAGGCCCATTCTGACTGGAAGACAGGAAAGAATGAGAAACTGGCACACAGCAGAACTAGGCAAAGATTATTAGACCGCCCACCTTTACTGCTTTTATATGGAGGACAAAGGACAGCTGTGCCTCTCCACAGATTGCATCCTATCTCTACTTCTTTAGTCATGGTTTCTAAAGTAGACCTGTTGGGGAAGAGCACGCAATTCTCAAAATTTTCTGATACATGATGTTGTTTACCCAGTATGTAGCGAAGGCTTTCAAATCTCCACTCCCACACAGTATGTACCAGAGTGTCCATTTTATACACCCTTGATAAGAACAGGCCTTTAGAATCTTAGTCTGTTTTGTTCTGCTTTGCTTAGTAAGGTCATTTCTGAGATAGTGATATTCATTACTAAGCTATACAGCACATATCACAGTGCTAGCTGTATCTGTATGGTGAACCTGAGGGAACTAAGACTGCCCTTCCTGCCACATGTTCAATTTAAAATTCAGCTATGGTCAGGCTCTATACTGCTTTCTTGCTGTCCACTTGAAGACTTGAGTGTCATCTGATTTAAAGAGATCTTTTGTGAACTACACATTCCTAGTAAAACATGCTTGACAGTAACAATGTAAGAGAATTTCCACTGAAGGAGCGCACTTCAAGTGCATTCTTAAAAACATGTACGGGCATCCGTGGGCAAAGGTGAGGCGAGAAGGGGGCCGCAGCATTCTTGAACCCTCTCAGCAGCCATTATTACCTGTTCAAGGTCCCTCCTTGGAAGCTGCAGAGATGGCTCAGCAGTTAAGAACAAGTGCAGTTCTTCCAGAAGACCCAAGTTCAGATCCAGCATCCACAGCAGAGTCTGAGAACCACTTATCAGCTCCTGGGGATCTATACCTTCTTCTGACTTCCATGGGCTACACACCTGAGGCATACACACACACACACACACACACACACATTAAATAATTAATTAATTAAAAAGATAAAGATCCCCCTTACCATTGCCAAGGTGGGGGAGAGTTCACAAAGCACCGCCCTTTTCCAAGGTCTGACTTGCAGTTAAAGGTTGCTGCAGGGACATTTTCCACAGTAGTGCAGTCAATGTTAAGCTGCCTACGTCCTGAGGGCAACCCTAATTAAACTTATGGGTTTATCAAATATGAACATACATACATATCCGCTCTTAGGGTACAAAACACCATGGGTATTATTAGAAAAAAAAAAACCCAATATCAAGTTGCTTCCATTACTTTCCATGCTTTAAGAATAGAGAAGCTCTATGTCTTCCAAATACTCTTCAGATAATACATACATCTCGAAGGTCTACAGGTGTGTGTGCACCTGTACATGTGTATGTGTGTTTAACATATACTGCGATATTTTGACACATAGTGCAGTAATTAGACTCAAGCTTGATTACTTGAAGTTAAGTACTTGATTAGTTGAAGTTAAGCTACAACAAACACAGCCACCTTTTCTGAGGCAAGTTAAAATATTTTACCTCTACTTTTATGTGTTGCAATGACTTAAGTAACAAAGCCACATCTCTATAATTTCCCAACAGTGAGTAGTTGTCTTTATTAACACTTAGAGAAGAAGGAATGGTGTCCTGAATCAGGTGAAGAGGTGAGAATACAGTGTGTGTGTAGAACACGGTGCTCTGAGCTGCTACAAAAGCAGACTCCAGACTCACTGCAGTAAGTTACGCTTTGCTACAAAGTATTTCTCAGCATCGTGTTTAGTTATTTGGATGACTTTCTCCAGGATAGAGAGGGCAGAATAAAATTTAGGTTATTCTTTATCTTGTACCTCACGACTGCAATCCTGTTTGCTGCTGAGAATCTAATAAGGCGCACTTTAGTGAAGTGGCACAGAGGGAACCATTACCAACTAACCTCAACTACACAGTGAGTAAGTAATAAAATTAGCCTTACCAGAAGCCATGGCTTGTATCTACAAATCTGTACCTAGGCATATATTATAATTCAAAGACAATGAAGTTGATGTCTTACGTGAAGGGCAGGGTGACCCACAAAGACAAATGCTATGCTAGGAAATGTGGATGTAACCTCTTGAAAGCATACATTTTATGTTAACTGGGGTGCACACACAAGTAAACATGTAATTCATAAATCAAGGCCACATAAAAGAAAATACTGACAATTACTTAACTTTCTACAGGGGACTCACCTGGTGGGATTCACCAGGTGGAAGGAGAGAAGTGACTTATCCTGTGACTTCCACACATGAGCTTAGGCACGAAGGCCGATATACACACACAGGAACACACTAAATAATTATGTAAAAGCAAAACCCAAATTTCTTTACTAGCTGTGTGCCTAGTCCTTAAAAACCCATTCTTTCTGGGTGGTGGTGGCCCACACCTTTAATCTCAGCACTTGGGGAGGTAGAGGCAGTTGGATCTCTGTGAGTTCAAGGCCACCCTGGGCTACAGAGTGAGCTGGGGGGTGGGAAGGAGGGAGCCAGACCTGTTATACAGAGAAACCCTGTCTTGAAAAACAACAACATAAAACCAAAACAATAACAAACTCATTCTTAAAATACAAAGACCTGCAAATGGGGTACAGTGGGTAAGAAATGCTACAAAATATTTGACGGTTGCAGTTTAGTTTTGAACTCAAATTCAAAGTGATTTTGCTTATCCAGGCATTGTTTGCTCCTCGAAAAGCCAAGGATTTTTGGACAATCTCTTATACAAACCAAGTGACCAAAATTGATTAGCAGCAGAAATTTATTATCACAGACAAACAATGCTATAATTTTGAAGTAGTATATATACAGCGTATCAAGGCTGAATCTCAGATATGATTCTTGTATGCATCATGTGGACAACCATAGCTCACTTTCCTTGAGTCACATGACACCAAGCCATCTACACTCCACCCTCCACCTCAAACCCCAAAAGGAAAAAAAAAAGCTCCTTTACTCCGGAGCATCATCAAAGGAGGTGTGAAATGCCAGCGGTTCAAGGCACAAAGCCTACACTTCGGATGTGACAAGTTGTTCTCGTTTCTAGACTTGTGCAGCAGGCTAGTTACCTGCTCTCAGAGACACATGCAAATCCTATACATCCAAGCTTTAGGTGCTTTCTGTCCACACACGATGGTCTAAGTCTCAGCTGGAGTTCCCCTGAAGTCAAGTACTAGGAACAGTTTTATCGACACAGGGTCTGGAACAATCGCTAGAGAGCAGGGTTGGGGAGGGAACATGGGTGTCATCGAACTTTTTTTTTTCTTTTCTTTCTAACTTATGGCTTAGGACCTCTATCGAATTTAACAGGGAACACAAAAAGTTTTCCCCTGCACTCTGGAAGTTTGAAGGGTTTTTTTATTTATTTTTTTTTTTAATTTAAGCTGGAAGGGACGGGAAAACCCAGCGGGCGATTTCCTTCCCTGGGCAGGGAAACACGAGGTGAGGATCAGCCGGGCTGAGGAAGTGGGATGCAGTGAGCCGGGAAGGGGCAGGATCGGCGGGAGAGGCTCCCAGACCAGGGGCCCGGCCAGGACTTTGGGGCGAGAGCGGCCCGGGGAGGGCACGAGGGCGTCCCTGGCCTGTAGGAGGGCGGCGGGCTCGTCCGGCACCTGTTAGACGCCGGGCACCTAGGGCAGAGGCGGCTGCGCGCCGAGACGGGGATCCTGGGGGCCACCCAGACTGGAGGGGAGAGAGGCGGAGTCCCGGCCCCGTGCGGGGACGAGGGAAGGGCGGCGCCGGTCTGTGGCAGGCGAGGGCGCGCGGCGACACGTCCCCGTCCCGCGGGGATCCGGGGATGACGCTCCCGGGCCCACGGCCGCCGGAACCCAAGTTCGAAGCCGCTCACTCACCGCTCGCCCACGCACAGACGCCACAGCCGACCGGGAAGGCTCCCGGTCGCCAACACACGCGGCGCTCCGAGACCGAGTGATTCCGACGCCAGACTCCGGGTTCGAGGGCAGCAGCCGCCGCGTCCGCCGACGGCCAGAGCCTCAGCCCCAGCCGCGGCTGTCGCTGCTGCTTCCGCCTTCTCAGCCAGCCAGGAGCAGCGAGGGGAGAGGAGCCCGTCCCGAGACAGAGCGGCCCCGGGAGTGAGGGCGCCCCCTGGCCGCGGTCCTCCACCCTGCGGCTGTCAACCCCACCTTGCAATTGTTATCTGATTGAAGGGTGTGTGTGTGTTAAAATGAGAAATTTGATGGTGATGGGGCATCAATAGCCTTGATAGCATGATAGCAACAATCTAAAATTATATTTTCTTAGACTTTTTACAGTTCTACCCCTACTCCTACCAGTAGGTAGAACCCTACATTAATTAATCAAGTAGTTCTTCTCATCGATGCATGAAAAATTTCTTCGCAGTTGCTGCATTTGCACTAGCCCATTCTCCGGCATTGTTACGGGAAAGCCGTTTTGAATCCCCAGTTTAAATGGAATCTACGAATTGTAACAGACACACGGCGATAGATGGCCCAAAGATTCTCACCCTCATCTGAAGATCTGACTCATCTTCTCCACTCGGTAGGGAGGGTATTGCAGGGTCACGTGCGCACATCCTGAAACTAGATGTGTGCTTTCAAAACCAGTTTTTCCCCTATATAAATCTTGTCACACACACACACACAAAGTCTTGTCACGTTAGATCAAGTTATTTAATCTATACTTGCAAGCCTCAACTCTCTCATCTCACATTCGCGTTGCTAGGTAACGCGAGTAAATGCACCTAAATAAATGGTTTAAAGTTATATAGGAAATAATAGTGCAATAAATACGAACAATCTGCATGTCCATTTTTGCTGACATTTTAAATAACGTGTTCTTTCCAGCGTAAGAATCTGTCACTACTCAGACTCAGCCTGCCCTTTAAAACGTGCGTTGAAATAGTTAAGGCCTGAAAAGTGTAAAGAGTTACACGGAAGCGTCTGTGAGCACGTCCTACGGTGTAAGAAGTAAAGGAGCCTGCCGACGCTACTCTCTGCGCATCCTCCTCCACAGCTGCCTCGTCCACTTACATAAGCTCCCGAGGGATGGAGAACAGGTCATTATACAAAACCAAGAGATAAGGAGAGGGTCAGATGGCCCAGTGGGCAACGAGCACGCCTTTAACCCTGACGCTAGGAGTTGGAACTCCGGAACCTACATTTTAGAAGAGAACCAATTCCCAAAAGTTATCCTCTAAACTACACGTGTACACAATGGCATGCACATGTGTACACACACACACACATATGCACACACTTAAGGAAAAAGAAGGACAGAGAAAGAAAGAACAAGGGCATCAGATTTCTTCCATTTACTGTGGAGACCCTAAAATGAGGGCCTATTTTTACCTTGTCTGTCGGTCAGATAGTTTGGAGTTCTCTCAAAATGACCAACAAGTGTAGTTGCAGGTCCCAACTCAGGATGTGATTGCTTGGTTCTCTTAACATTAAAACAGCTCATTCAAGTAGTTCCATGCCATCCTGATAGGCGGCCAGGATGTGCAACTGTACTTCTACTCCTTTTTTAACTATGAGGTCACCTGGGGAGGGGCGGTGTTCAGCTTACAGCATCTAAAGCAGCTTCCAGCTTCGCTACCTAGACAACAGAATGCTAGTGATTTGCTATCTCAAAGTGTTAAAGCGATTGACTGTTTGAGTTGTCCTTTGTATCATGTTAATAAAGTCTTTTGTTACCCCTCCCTCATTTACACGGAATATAAAAGCTGTGGAAAAATAAACACAGGGATTTTCAGGATTTCAGTTATAATTGGACCACCTTCCTGGTACTTACGGTTTCTGTCTTATTATTTTTCATGCGTCTTCATATTCTTTGCTTGTATTTCTAAAGTTCCCATGCCCCTACCCTAGTAAGAGGTATTTTTGTTGAGGCTAGTCCTCGACAATTTATTAGTGCGACTTCTGGGCACGTTAGCTACTTACCAAGCTTCCTCTTCCTAAGCCATAGAAAAGGGGATGGTGTCTCCGTTAACCAGGTATGTTGTCAAGGTGAACTAGTAAAAGAACAGGAGAGAGCTAGCAAGAGGCTTTCAAAATGAGCAGATGTTTTGTGCTTATTTCTTCACACTGTTTTTCTAAGCGTTCTTGAGGGACCTCAAGAATAGTTTCCTATTTCTATAAATCCTGTACAATACTTTACTAATTTTTGTACACAGAGTCTTGAGCTCACCTGACACAGGAATCTTACACATCTCTGTTTGCTTGCAGTCAAGTAGGGCTGTGAGAAAGGGCTCACGAGCTGTGATGGAGAAGGATGCTTGCCATTTGGGGCTAACACATTTGATTTCAGCTCTGCTGCCTATGTTTGACCACTTTATTAGCTCCTGTTGTATGGCTGTGGCCAAAATCCATGTCTGAAAGAACTTAAGCAGGAAAAACTTAATCTTAGCTCCTTGTTTCAGACCTGTAGGTCCATGGCAAGGAGTGTATGGCAGAGTGGAGGGTGAGCAGCTCATGGTACAGAAGACGGGGAGTGGAAGGAGGAGGAGGAAGGGAGAGGAAGGGGAAAGGGTCAGCACAAGACACTGACCTTAAGGCCAGGCCTCTCAGCCTCATCAGCAACCTTCTCCATCCAGACCCCACTTTCCAGAGCACTACCCCTTCCCAGTAGATGATTGAGATTCTAATTCATGGCATCATCACTAGTTTCCTAAGTATCAAGTTTACAGTCAAGGTTAACCAACACAACCCTAGAGGCCGTGAAGAGTCTTCTAGAAGAAAGAGGTGAGTCCTTGCCTTATGTGGAGGGGAGTCGCCTTGGAAGGTTAGCCCCAACTTTGGATTTACGTGAGCAATTCTTTTGTTTGAAGCCATTGAGATGGTGTAGTTGATTTCTGAAATATAATCCAGTTCATGTTAGACACATTTCCTTCTTAGTCGGTCTTCTGATCAGAGCAATCAGAACGCCAAAGTTGCACTTCTGGCTTTGCTTATCAGTAAACTGGATCCTGATCAGGTGACCTCATCTATAACATTTGAATAAAATCTGCCTTGTTTATGTTTCTCATGGTTGAAGTGGTTTCAGATGAGACCATAGTGAATACACTTTGCTGACTGGGAAGTCCTGTCCAGACAGAGGAACCAGATGTGCTGACGAGCAGGGTCCTGATGTTTATAGCAACCCCAGTGCTCAGGTTCTCTAAGGCACTGCTACCTGAAAATGCCTCATTTGATTCTCCTACAAATAAACTGAACATGTACAAAAGGATAGTCCCATAACATGCATAGCTTGTCATTTTTTTCCATTCCTTTTAAAACATGTTGATGAGGTGGTTTAGTGGGTAAAAGCACTTGCTATCAAGCCTGGTGAACTGAGCTCAATTTTCAGACCCACGTGGTGGAAGAAGAGAAAAGACTCAAGTTGTCCTATTATCTCCAAACACGTGCTGTGGAATGTGTGTGTGTGCATGTGTGTGCATGCATACACACAGATATTACAATAATACAATCATACAACAACACAGTAAAAATACAATAAACATTGTTTTATAAAGAAAATAGGATACTCCATCCAGGCAACAGGGCTGAGATAGTGAAAGTATTTCTCAAACATTTGAAAATAAGATATTTTGAAGAGTTAAATTATAAAATTAAGATAACTTATTAGTTTAATATTGGATGAAAGTGAGGACATGCCTGCTCATAGATATGGTTGAAGAGAAGGTTTTGTTGTTGGTATGAGGGAGAATACAGTCAAAGACATCGGAAAGGGTACAGACTGAAGTGAGCTACGAGGAGGTGATATAGGATGTCCTTCTGTATATGTGTTGCTTTTATTGGTTGATGAACAAAGCTGTTTTGGTCAATGGCTTAGCAGAGTAAAGCCAGGTGGGAAATCCAAACAGAAAGAGAGAGAGAGAGAGAGAGAGAGAGAGAGAGAGAGAGAGAGAGAGAGCAGGCAGAGTCGAGGAGACACCACGTAGCTGCTGAAGGAGAAAGATGCTGGAATGTTTCTGGTAAGTCACAGCCTTGTGGTGATACGTAGATTAATAAAAATGCATTAATTTAAGATGTAAGAGCTAGTTAGGAATAACCTGATCCATTGGCCAAACAGTGTTGTAATTAACATAGTTTCTGTTTGATTATTTGGGTCTGGGTGGCTGGGAAATGAAAGCTCACTCTCTTTTTAAAAGGAGGCCAGGGAGTAAAAGAAAATGAAATGAGGGAGAGAAGAGGAGAGAAGGCAAGCAGATCAAGAGAGAAGCCAAGAACCAAAGGACCAAAACAGTGCATTGTCAAAATTGCTGGATTATATAGGAATAAGGGGCTGGGTGGTATGGGAGATCCTTCTGTCTATGTGTTGCTTTTATTGGTTAATGAATAAAGAACTGCTTTGGGCCTATGACAGGGAAGAACAGAACTAGGCAGGAAAAGTGTAGTGTATGTATATATGTGTGTGTGTGTGTGTGTAGACACTCTCATTGATGTGAATGTCAGGAGTCAATGATGGGTCAATTGCTCTAGCCTTATATTTTTATGACTATTTTTATTTTATTTATGTGTTTGTGTGTGAGTTTTTATGAATAAACATCGCATGGGTGCACATATGCACAGAAACCAGAAGAGGGCATCTGATATGGGTGTTAGGAATTGAGCTTGGGCCTTCTAAATGAATGGAAAATGCTCTCAACTGCTTGAACCATGTCTCCACCCTCACATTTCACCTTATTTTTTGGGATAGAGTCTCTCCCTAGCTCTGGATCTCACTGATAGGTCTAGAGGGGCTAGCTGGAGTCCCTGGGATTCTCCTGTTTCTGTGGCTGGAGTGGTGGGATTACAGGCACAGGCCACCGCGTCCAGCTTTTCTTCTCCTTCGCGGATGCTGGGGGATCTGAATTCAAGTCCTCATGCCTGCGAGGTAAGCACTTTACTCGCTTGTCTGTCACCCCAGTGATCTGTGAAGAACATGTTTAAGAGCTGAACTAAAATTTTGTGTATTTAGGGCCGGGCGGTGGTGGCGCACGCCTTTAATCCCAGCACTCAGGAGGTAGAGGCAGGCGAATCTCTGGGAGTCCGAGGCCAGCCTGGTCTACAAGA